CATTCCTTCATTGTGAACAGTATTCAGTGCAAAATCCACATTAATTTTGATCCCCTAACTCCTCCCTCGGAGAGTAGGCTCTCAGTTTAATCATGATAGGTTAGGCCTGGTTTCTGGTCCTTTGTTCCCATTCCCATTGTAATATATATCTTAAAATGTTTTGTTTTAGAAAACAATATCGCTTGGCTGGCCCGCTTTGATTTAAAGGGTATAGTGTAATTGAGGTTTGGCTTAAAGGATGTGATTTTTGATCTGTCTAGAAATGTTTATCTTTATTTTTAAATGGTTTTTTCACATAAACATTGATTTCTTTCATAAGTAAGTATATTGTATTGTGCAGCAGATCAGAATTAGGAAACATTTTTCCTGATGGTAAGCAATCGGCACCTAATCGTATCCACTGATGTGGCGGTTGGCTTATGGCAGTTTCTTCTGATTTATTTCGTTGCGTTGTTGCGGGATCCAATACATATCTCTGGGACGTGTCGGACTTCAATGATCTGGTGTTTTCATGGTTGTATCTAATGTAGGTCCTGGCTTACATGAGTTATAGCAGTTTTTGGCAGGTTGCAGCGGACATGTCAGGAAAAGGGAGAGGATTTGACTTCTTGTAACTTCACACATGTTGAAGAATGTAAGCGTTGTTTCATGTCAGTTTTGCGCGAGGCCTTATCATACCTCTGAATGCAACATTTGCATCCATATTAGAGCGAATTATCGCTGACTAAAGGCGAGATAGTGGCCAAACACAAAATAAAATAAAAAACAAATGCAACTTTTTGAGTGATGAGTTCAAATTTTGAATATAGAATGTTCTTGTCACGTCGGGCACTTTATTGAATCAAATTACCTATACAAAGGTTGTTGGAAGTGTCCTAATATTTTATTGTACTACAGTTTAACCCTAAAAAGATAACTGCTCTTTCAGGAAATTGAGCGGAAGATATAAGCACACTACTTTATGCATCGTAAAAATGCGCTAATGCTAATTATGAACCATTTCTGTGTAAGAAAAAATTACTCAAATTACTCACTATGGTATGTAGTATAGTGTGTATAATATAGTATGGTATAGTAAGTATTTACTACCTCATTTATTTTAGCTGATTTATATTAACTAAGCCTGGCACCGCGACCTCGGCCCAGAGCAGGAGAAGGAACGGAGGGGTTTTTAGTCAGTAAGAGTCTGACACTCCCTCCCGCCCGACCCTGGGCGGGAGAAGTCATTTGATGATGTTCCCCTCACAAAAAAAGCCTGAAAATTATTGTCAGGCTTAGTTCGTATAAATAAATTTGATGGCATTAATTGTTGATACCGTTATAATGTACCTAAACACTCTTATAAAAAAAAAAAACTCGTTGGAAAAAAAGGGCAAAGATACTATTAAGTTTTTTCAGTGTATAACTTAGAAACTAGCTTATTACTAACTTTTGATAACATAGAGAATGGAATAGCGAAATAAAATTCCACAATCCGCCTTCTATTATGTGGAACTTTTGGCTTACCTAATGAAATTCACATTTTTCCAAGTCATACTATGTACTTAAAATGACTTGGAAAAAGTCACATTGGCACTTGTCAGGTTTCTAACCTGGATGTCTTTTGAATTAAACGCGGACATAATTTTAGGATCACCACGATATAGACGTGATTTTATTTTATAAGTTTTTTTATGTGATAGGTCGGCAAACGAGCAAACGGATTACCTGATGGTAAGCAATCAGCGTCGCCCATGGATACCCGCAACGACGGAGGAGTTACGAGTGCGTTGTCGACCTTTTGGGGATTAGGGATTTGGAGATATTGGGAAAGGGAACGGATTAGGGTAGGGGAAGGACTGGGCCTCCGGTAACCTTACTTACAAGGCGAAACGCAACTCTGGTTATTCCACGCCGGTTTTCTGTGAGGCCATGGTATCACTCCGGTCGAGCCGAAGTATGGATCTCCCACACAATGCTGATACTAAAGTTCTGCACTGTTTAATGGATGTGTTTTCATCAGTCACTCTACACAATAAAAAACCTCGCTTCAAAAACCAAAAGATGATAATGCAGAAAAATAAAGCGCCTTTTTATACTATGTAGTGATGATACTCAATTGCAAATTGGAGGATTTGATGCTAACAGCATTTTCTGCCTTCTGATTGTTCAGAGATGTAAGTGTACACGAAACAATAACAACAAATAACCAATCACCAAATATACAAATTGACACACACACACACGCACAAAAACAAATCCGATTTATTCGCACAAAATTAAAGTATCACTCACAGTCAGCAAAAACATTTAGCTCGCCGTTTTAAACCTCAGAGGCGTTATTTATTCAGTAACGTTTTTTTTTTGTTGTCGGTACACTAACAACTAACTTTCGTTGCGGACTTTTATGTGGCTTGTAGGTACTTTTTTTTTCTTTTTTTGTATGCAGCTAGATAGTTCAGACTTCACATTTATAGAGTCTAGGTTTTAAACAGAGTTGCTAGAATATTATTCACCATATTTAGTCGAGTTTTAGTATTTTAAGTATTTAGATTTTTATTTTCAAGTGGCTTTAAAAGTGAACAGTTAGATTTTATATGGATTAAATAAAGCTTTTTATAAAAGGTATTTTGGTTAATGAAAGTTTTGGTAATCGGCTTGTATTTCATATAGGTATTAAGATATATTTTGTCAATATATCATGAAACACATTGTGATAAAAACATATCAGCTGTTCTGCATCTAAATTTTTATATGTACTTAACTATTTTTTTAAGCAGGTGTCTATGGGCGGCGCTAGATGGCTCTATAACAGTTTATCACGTTCAGTCTCACGTGACTTAACACTTAAGAAAACATACGAGTATAATATTTTTAAATAAACAAAAGTCAAAGTAACAACCTCCAAATATAGCGTCACTCATAAAACCTCCTAGTATTATTTATCTTGCAATGTTTTCTTTTTTGTCAAATTTAGTTAAATATGTTTTTTTTTTGTTTCAAGGACAAGTGTTTACAATTTTTGTGTTTTTTTTTGTAATTTGTAAAATAATATTTATTTTAATTTCGTGCGCCCGCAGATGAGTTTGTTATCCCAACAGTCAGGGACCATCTGAAAATCAGTGCTGTGCTAATGCACAGCATATACTGAGATGGGCCCCTTCACTGTGTATTCTTTATATGTTAATTTTTATTTTTGTTGAACCCAATGTATGTATGCGTATCTAAATAAATGGTTTAAACATTTATCCGTTTGCTCGTTTGCCGACCTATCTATCTATCTATACTAATATTATAAGAGGTAAAAATAATTTGTAAGTTTGTATGTAGGGGGTAATCGTGGAACCGCTGGTCGGATTGCCAAAATTCTTTCACTGTTTGATAGCTACAATGTTTCTGAGTGCTATAGGCTATAAAGCTATAAGATTGAATGGAGCCGAGCAGAGCGAATGAAGCCGCGCAAAAGTAGCCAGTCACATATAAAAAAACACAATTACATGGATTCTGATCCAATTTTATTTCTCTTTGTAAGTATAAATCTTAACCAAAGATATTGTAATCTTACTTTATCCAGGTCTTTATTACACACTTAGGTCCTTTAGGGATCTCCCTATAATTGGCAAATTGATAGCTCCAATTTCAACCACACATATATAGGTATAAAGTTGACTTTCGCTCGTTACAAGAGATAATGCGTAGCCTCTTAGGACAAGAAAGCTAATTATTGGAATTTCTTTTTCTTTACACACAAAAGAGGTTGTTACATAATGAAATATATGTAGTGCCAGTACCATTTTAGTTTCATACATTGTCATTTGACAAATGTATGAAAAGGAGGTTTTCTTTCACGACACGCCACACAATACACAAATCAAAGTCCAATCATTTATTTTAGACTATTGAAGGGACTTTGAACATCAAACAAAATAATTAAATGTAAGAAGTTAAAAAGTGTCAGTGTCAGTCCGTCGGTCTGTGTGTGAGTGAAACTATTAAAATATCAAAAGTTAAAATGAGTCAGTCTGCCGGTCTGTCCTCTAGCGAAACTATTGGCTTGTTGCAAAATTTAGGTTCCTATGGAGAGGATCGTACAAAAACTTGAAATTTTAAACTACATGAAAATGTTGGTCTATACTAATATTATAAAGAGGTAAAATTTGTAAGTTTATATGTAGGGGGTAATCTTTGGAACCGCTGGTCGGATTGGCATGTTCCTGAGTGCTATACGCTATAAAACCTCACGCTACGATCAAATGGAGCCGAGCAGCGGATGAAACCGCGCGAGAGTAGCTAGTATAAAATAAAAAGTATAGTAGTAGTAGTCAGTTTGCAACCAGTATAGCTAGTGCTAGCTAGATCAAAAGAACATTTGGGTTGCTCGATTAGCTATTTGGTTATTGTAGTGTTTATATCTCCAAAAAGGTCATACAAACATTGTCTCATGTACACTAGTAGTCGAAGTATAGCTGTAAATCTGTCACTTCAGTCAGTCTGTCACTGACACTCGTTAAGGTTGGCCTAGTACTGCTTGCGATACAAGTGTAGTGGTGAGCCAGTGCATTACCGGTTTTACTGTAAAGACAAGGGTCCTTACAGTGTTCATAAAAAACGTATTTTTTTTCTTTTTTTAATAGCAACCGAGTAAAAAAAAACGTAAGTCTATGATAGAATGAAATAAAATGTCAATTTGACAATGCGCTTGAATATCGTTGGTAGAGTAGTCATCTAAATGCGTCATCCAAGCAAACGGAATCGGATTAGATGCTCGGATCGAGTATAGTATCATTCAATTATTTTCGCTTTTTTAAATTTTTAGATTTTAAATTTTTTGAAAAATTCTCATTTATATCAAGGAGACTTGTGCGCGAGTATATGGAGTGAATCACCTCCTATAATAATATGGGACTTATAACATATGTAACTGGAGATAGGTTGGTGTACATTATGTAGCATTATTTGTCTCCGCCTACCCTTTTGGGGATAAAAGTCGTGACGGTAATATACATTGACTTTAACATTACCTTCTCCGGCGCCTGTGACTGTGTGTATGAGCAGCACTACAACACACAAGCATCGTTGGCCCTCCACCGACATCGCTGTCGTGGGATCCAAACCTGGAACAAGAAAAAAAAATAAGTTTTTAAAACATTAGTTTGTAGTAGCAGTGACTACATCACCGTGGTAGTATTTTTAACCGACTTCCAAAAAGGAGGATGGTTCTCAATTCGACCGTTTATAAGCTTTTCTATGTTTGTTCGCCAATATCTCCGTTATTTATGAACCGCTTTTGATTATAAACACCGAATTTAAGATTATAAAATAGTTATTAAATATTATTTTATATGTAACTAAATGAAAATATGTATTACTTTTTACAAAGATAATTATTTTTTTGCTTTTTAGTTTACTTTTTGAAGTCGGTTTTCTTTTTTGTTGAAAATTATTTTATTGCTTTGCAGGGATTTTTATATATTGATTTTAATGTTATAATGTGTCGTGGTGGTCCAAAGGTCACCGTTCTGTCTAGTACCAATGTGACTTTTTCCGTGTTATATGTACTTTCTAAGTTCATTAAGACACCACGGGCATACGGTAAACGAAAAAAATCGTAAGAAAACCCGTACTTATAATGGAAATTAAAAATAAGTTAAACCCTGTCCGTGTGAGAGGAATTTGCTTTGACTTTGCAAGATTCTAGCTTACTTAGTTATATAATTTTTCAGCCAGTTATAAAATTACTCAAACGTATGGATTACTAAAAAAAAAACGTTTCAAATTTGAAGTCAAACATCAGTGATTGAAGATATCAGTATGTTTCTGTTTACCTTTTTTTATAAACTTGTACCTTTCAAACAGTGATCTCTATCCATAACCTCATTCACCGAAATAGATCTCAAAAGACAACACTTTCCAATTTATATGTAAGTATTATATAACAAAGAAAAAGAAAAAACAAAAGGAATTGAATCCATTACGTGTCTCGAGCTCTGAAAGCTCTTTCGTGTCAGCCACGCATCCGTTACAAATGGAGTCGCGAGAAAATATAAAAGATTAATTATTATAAAATAAAACAATTCGTTTAAAGTGACCTTGTTATCTTTCTGTTTCAATGCGTATTTTCAACTTTATGTCAGTATTATTAATGCTCATAATGCCGTATTTGTTTTTATTGATTGCGGGGAAACATCGTTAGGTTTTAATCAGCTTGTTTACTTTTCATGCATGAGGGTGATCTGCCAAGTACCGATGTGTCTTGTCTGAGTTATATATATATATATGTCTGGCGAGGAAATCTGTCCTTATAATTTCTAATTATACAATATATTAATATCTTTAGCTTTGGCATGCGTAGAGAAGTAATGTATGCCAGGATTTTAAAAACAGCAGCGTTGAAACCGACAGCTCGACGAAAGTACGCAATTCTTGTATAATTTATTATTTGTAGCTATCTATCAGTGAGATGGTTTTGGATCTTTGTCCAGCGTTTCCAAAGATTACAGCCTACGTACCAACTTAGAAATTTTACTTCTTTATAACTAAGCGAGTGCCCAAAAAAAGAGTTTTATGTTTTAAGTATTCATATAGATGTAAGTTAAAAATAGCCAATTTGCTTTATGATTAATGTTATTAAACCAATAGGCTGGTGATGACGATCACGCGAAAGTAAAACTATCCTGTTCCATATCCTGCTGCTAGTCGAGCCATGGTATCTTATTATACGACTAGTTATCGGTCCTTGTAGGCGCCATTTTTGTTGGTGACGACGCACCAACTCTGCGCTCAAATTTCTGTTCCTAACGAGTAAGAACATTAATTACTGTATTATATCCATTTTATTATGGGCCAAATTAGGCCATACTTACATTATGTAAGACTCAAAATTATAGAAATATTACAAACTACCATTCCGACTCAGCTTCTAACAGATGCAATGCTGATTCGAATTTCTACACTATTTAATGGATTTTACATTTGAATCTTCCCCTTTAATCTCCCTGCCTACTTATTTAAATAAACGGCGCCAAAATCCGTTGCGTAGTTTTAAAGATTTAAGCATCCATAGAGACATAGGGACAGAAAAAGCTACTATGTAGTGATAGGTAATTTTAAAGTAATTTTAAAACCCACTTAGAAAGGAAAAAAAATCTCAAAACTAACAATCCCATAGCGAGAGTAATTCTCGTTCTGAGACTATTAGTCAACGTGACGGGGGAATCGGCATCGTTCTCAGAAACACGCGTTAATTTGTATTACCGACGTCTTTCGGTATTAAGAGCGAGCCTCAGAGAGCTTTTTGTCACAGAAATATTAATGTACAAGGTAGTACAATTTACTAGAACATTCTTGGAAAATTATACTAATTTTTGTACGTGCGTTAATATATCCTGAGACATAACACATTTCTTGAAAATAAAGACTCAATCATTGAGATTAAGCTGAGAAAAGCGCTCTGTTGATGTCGCCGCAACCCGAACTGTATTCATCCTCAAGAAATTTTTACGTTTGAAATTTGTAGTTTTTCAGTATAGTCACGTGCACTTGAGCCTTCTTCATCTTCATCATCAGCTTATAAGTGCCCACTGCTGAGCAAAGGCCTCTTCTCACACGGAGAAGGTTTGAGCATTAATCACCACGCTTGCTCACTGCGGGTTGGCGATTTCAAACTTATAATTAGAAATTATAAGTCCAGGTTTTCTCACGATGTTTACCTTCACCTTATGTCAGTGGTGTGTAAATAATCATAGAAAGTACATATAACTCGGAAAAAGTCACATTGGTACTTGTCAGGTTTCGAACCCACACCCTCGTGCACGAGCAGAGGACTTTTCTTGTCAAGTCATCTGATTGGTTGTTGATAATTCAGTCAACCAATCAGATGACTTGACAAGAGATTAAATTGATTTCAACATTCATCGGCCTTTCGGAAACCGGGTGTAAGAGTCTGACTCTCCCTCTCGTCTCACCTGGGTGAGACGAGAGGGAGAGTCAGGCTTCATAAGTATTTTAAACCCCAAAACTCCCCGTAATCGTGTCAGAAACAGAAGGAAATAGCAAATAATTCACAAATGTACAGAACTATTCGGTGAAATCTGTGTTTATGTACGAACAATGGGTATTCTTAATAATGAATTGTTCAAGACAAATAGTTTCTTGTGAGTAGTATGTTATTGGGCATTCTATTCCACTATCGGCAAGTCGCTCGGCGAGTGCGCCTCGCTACCGATAGTGGAATAGAATGCCCAATAACCAATAAGCGACTCGACTCTCTACTCGACCAACGATAGTTCAAGTTATTTTACTTCCGATAAATGAACGTAAAATAGATAGTAGCTAGGTAGGCTGTTTAAGTTTATAAAGATTGTGGAAGTAAAATTTTACTCATTACTAATCAGTTCGTTGACAACAGAAATCATGAAATTTGTTAAACAACCACAATCGCTGCATGTAGGCACGATTTGCGGTGACTTTTGTAAAACTAGTTTGCGTCATGGAGAATTGTTACCTAATTCAGTACGATGTATTATTTGCGGACCATCGAATTGTGGCAAAACTAATTTACTTATTGGACTTCTTATACATGAAAATGGTTTACGGTTTCAAAATGTTTATGTTTATTCAAAAACCTTACACCAACCAAAGTACATTTTTTTAGAAAAAGTATTACAACGGGTACCAAATATCTCACTCCAGAAATATCAAGGGAACGAGGAAGTTATAAGCGTTCAGGACGCAAAACCCAACTCTGTAATTATATTCGATGACGTTGCTTGCGAGAATCAAACTAACATGCGTGATTATTTCGCAATGGGGAGGCATAAACACATCGATTGTTTTTATCTAAATCAAACATATAGCAAAATCCCTAAGCAGTTAGTAAGAGATAATGCTAATTTAATAGTATTATTTAAACAAGATGATATTAACTTGAGGCATGTTTATGAAGAACATGTTAACACTGATATGACATGGCTTGAATTTCGAGAAATGTGTTCTAAAATATGGAGTGAACCCTTTAATTATGTTGTAATTAATAAAGACTGTAATAAAAATAACGGATGTTATAGAAATAAATTTGATACATTTGTAGTCTTTGATTAGAAATACAAATATTTAAGACTATGATGCTTACTTGATATCATTACTCTTTGACCGACTCTTAAGCGATAACAATCATAGTCTACCGTTATGGAAAAATCATTGAAAATACAAATTGTTGATGCTGCAGAAGCTGTAAAGAAAAAAATACGAAAAATGCGAGATTTTGACACTGAGAATAAGCAGGCATTAGAATCAGTTTTTAGACCTGTAACAGAGTCTCTTAATTTAATTGCTAACAGCAATAAGCAAACTGACCCCTTGCGATCTAAAGAAGTTGAAGAAACAAAAATTCCGTGCAAAAACGATACATTGCAACAAGACTATACTATAAACGGAGGAGAAAGTGACGTGGAAGAAAATGAATGTTATACAGACAGTGACGAGTCGTACCAATCCTTGGGAGACAACAATCCAGAGACAAATACATCATCCTGGTCAATATCTTCAGAAGCACTTTCAGATATCCCGTTTGGTGTTCGTACGGCGCAAGGACAACTGATGTTAGGTTCTGCTGTCATAACGATCAGTGACAATTATATCACCGTCGCTGGACGGAAATATCCAAGCACTCCTGGACTAAGACAACTGTTATTAAAAAAGGACGTAGATTTGAGCATGATTAAAGAATCTGATCTGCAGAATTATAAAATGATGTTGATTACAACAAACGCACATCGTCGAGACTTTGACTCAAACAAACCAATAAAAAGTAATAAGGGACAAAAATATATGCAAGTCATAAAACCTCTTTTTCAACCGCCAACTGCTATTCAAAACAATCAATCAAAAGGAAAAGGGCTACCTTTGACAAAAATGTGGAAGAAAGATACAGATTTTATATATTGGGATGATCCTAATGAACTTGTGGATAGGTTAAAATTATTGATTGCATCTCGAGACGCTGGTAACACTGGATTAGACAACGAAATTATATCTATTATTGAAGAACTACGTGAAAGTAAATATATTAAGTAATAAATAAATGGTAAAAAAAAATTGCTGTTCATTTTACTAC